GTGTGTGATACTGGTACTGCATTTAACAGCTGGTATACAGGTGCTGTTTGTGGGCAGAACCGAAGCTGGAGGAGGCAGTGGACAAAGAACTGGAGCTGATGGTGGAGGAACAGGGGGAAGTGATGATCGAGGATGCCGAGGACAAGAGGCAGGGGGTGCAGAAGTCGGAAGACAAACTGTAAGAAGTGGAGGATTAGGAGGAGGAAGGGGCAGAGGTGAAGGAGTGAAAACAGCAGGCGGTTGAGGAGGAGGAGGCTGTGCAGGGGAAGGAGAGGAAATAGCGAAGTTAGGGGGATGGAAAACCTTTTCAAAAGTGCCTTTTGTTTCTGTATCTAACATACAAGTGGGGGCATCTCTCTTAAAGACTAGAGAATTTGAAACAGGTCTTGGAGGAGAGCATTCCAAGGCGCCGTCAGCAGAACTGACGACTTGAGGTTCCGAATGCAGGTCCACAGTTCTTGAAATAGTGGGCAGAGTGGAGAATGAAAAGTGGGACCAAGAAGAGGAAAAGGAAGAGTCTGGAGAGAGAGATTTCAGCTGTTCTGCTTGTTGTGTAATCGGGGTTTCTCTGGGCCTCCTTTCTTTCTTTGACTGACCGGCATCTTCCGCTGTAAGAAGTGGATTGCTGCTACCTCTCAGGGTTGGGTGCAGTCCAGTGTTTCCGCCTTCAGCTTTCTGCCTGGATATCTGCCACTGCACAAGGTCTATGGTCTCTGGTCTGTTTGGAGCTTTCCACATCAGCCTCCTAGGAAAGCTCACAGGCTGATTCCATAGCCTCTGAATCTTTTCTCTTGGGCCCCTCAGAGACTGACTCTTGACTTGTGTTTGGGGTAAATATAGGTCTTCAAAATCTGTTCTCAGTGAAATGTCTGAATTTGTGGATCTTTGACTGATACTTTCTTTAGGAAAGGGATTATGGGCACTTAAGTCATCCTCATCAGGAAGAAATGTGAATTTTCTTGCTGGTTTGGGCTGGTTGTTCTTAAATGATCCCTCCAGAGCTGGCTCATGAGCCTCAGTGGTACTGGAAGAAAAGGGCATCCCAGTGTGATGACTGGTCCTGTCTTCTGGGATTGAGTTATTTCCCCTGCTTTGTTCAAAATGGTAGAGAAGGAAAAGACTTGAAAGAAAAGAAGATAATGAAACGTAAGGAAACAGGTTGTGACACAGCTTTCATGAGAAAGATGTTTTCACGAATATCATTACTATTTTAAAGTACAGCCTAACTAATCTACTGAAGCATAACATTTCTTTTACATTCCTAGTCCCAACAAGGCAGAACAGGAAAGTCTCTAATAATGAGAAAGCATTATAAATTTTCCTTGAAAAATGCCAATCATTAGTTTGGTTTTTTGTTCTCCTCTTGGTTACTCCTCCATCCCCCCAATTTGTATATTAGAGCAAAGTATCCAGGTCTACACAAACTGTACACTGCTACAAAGTGTAGACAGGTATCTCGGCCTTTGACTGTGTATCCTCTGTCTTGCTGGTAGAGCCCACTTTTATATATAGAAGGTGTTTGCTGCATCTCAGGCAGTACCTTTCCATTATATATCATCTCAGTGACTCTGGTAGCTAATGGTCTCTCTGATCCGAGGCAATTTTTTTAAGAGAATAAAGAGATAATCCCCTTTCCAAATTAGAAAAATTACAGTTCCAGAAGACAGAAGGGATGGTTTTCATTGAATTCAAAATCACGATTGAGAAATTGACATCATGCTACAATCCTGAACTAAAATTATTTCTGCTGTTTAAATTCTTCTTAATTATTTTACAACATAGATATTGGCAGATG